TATGGCGCGCAGTGCAGGAATCTCAAACTTTCTGCCCTTGTAGTGTAATATACTATTAGTCTCATTAGATTAGAAACAGTATAAAATATTCATAGCTGCTCAATTATTTTACTAAAAAGTTATTTAGACTTAAAACCGATCAAAAATAATTTGAATAGTAGATCAAATACAGATGAAAATGTTTTTAAAAGTTCAAATACAGGTCAATAAGTTCAAATGCAGATCATTTAGCTTAAAATCAGTTTAAATTTTTTGACCCGGGTATATTACTCATAATAAATTTCCAGATTTTGTATTATAACAATTCGAAAAGTCTGTTCAACTACTGGTCCCATTTTTAGAAGTGTTCAAGTACTGGGTACTTTACCTTAATTAAGAGAGTAAGAAAAATTTGGTAACGTGTATATCTTTATCGTAAATTGGGTTTGATATTTTTTAGCGATAGTTATTTATGATTTATATAATTGAGAGAGTAAGGAAAATTTTTTGACGAGCATATTATTATTTTTAAAAGAATTTTTATAGTTTAATTTGGTATCATCAGAGAATTAGTGCCTTTTATGATAAGTTTTTGGAGGAATTTTTCATAGTTTTTTGATTCTATAAATTTGTTCCATCACATTTGTCCATTAAATTATTTGTAATTGATCCTGTGATATCATTATTATTTTTAAAATTTATTTAAAAAGTACCTACACTATGTTTAGTGTGATTATATATATGAAAAAAATCATTAAGGTAAAATTTTCTTATTCATAATTTTTAAATCTCGACTGTCGCAATGTGACTGCAGATTGCTAATTTTAATAAATTGTTTATAAAATTACACTAAAATAAATCCTTCATTAAAAAATTGATGTGACGTTTTAAAAATTTACGTTGTAAAAATTTATGAAATAAATAGTCAAAGAGAAGAAATTACAACAAGTAATTATTTTAAAAGAATTAATAAAGTATAAATGATAAATAAATACGTGAGAAATCTGACCATCAGACGAGGTGTTGTTGCCCTCGACAACATCAAGATAGTGGGCCTTGCATAGCAATCGTGTATCCAACAAGGCGAATTGTTCGCCAGTAGAGAGTTGTCGTGAACAAGCGTCGCACGCGAAACAAGCCAAGTGGTAAACTCTCTCCCTTGCTCTTCTCACCCAGTCACCGGCGCTTACACTTCGTCCGCACTTAGCGCACTTAGCACCAAATGCTCTGTAAAAAAAATAAACTATATAAATTATAACTTTTTTTATCTAATTCATTTTTATTATTAATTATAACTTTTATCAATTAATCTACTCTACTTTTACTAATTATCTCATTTTTTTTTAATTTAATTAAAATATTTTGTTGATGTTATTATAATTATAATTATAATTAACCTTGTGGAAGATAAATTACTCTTTGGGTGGTTTGGAACAAACTTTAACTTCTCTGGAGTAACAGAGATACATATTTGATTGGTCAATCTTTACATGTAGCTCATCCGGTAGCTCGGTACATGTTACATATATTATATCTAATGATTTAAATAATAATAATAATAATAATTAAAGATAGGGTTAAATATTTGCATACATGAACCAATTATCATTCCTGTTTTGTAAATATATATTTATTATTTTTATTTTATAAGCAATTAATTTAGATTTAAAAAAAATAGTAAAAAAAAAAATATAAAATAGAGTATTTAAATAAATTTTTTTCAAAATTATTAAAAAAAAAATAGTAATTTCTTAACAAAGTTTATTATCTATATTATTAAGAGAAAAAGAAAAGTTTTGTCGCCAGGATAGTCATATGATAAAATCGGTTTTTTTTAGTTAAATTTAGAGTCATTGAAAAGGTCTTGACTTGAATTTGTGCCTTTTCAAGGTTTCATGTCATTCTGATCAATAATTAACTTATAATGATAAGTATTTAGGCTGCATTCGAAAATGCTCTATCTCTATAATAGATACATAATTAAGAAATGACCTTGTATCTTGTGAAATATTGACATTTTTAAAGATATAAGCTCATCCCGATGTTACACTCATCGAGACCATTCATTTGAGTACCCACATCAATTTTTCATATATTTTATATATTTATATATATATGTATATATGAAAATGCATGTGGGTACTCAAATGATAGCTGTTAATGAGTGTAACATCGGGATGAGCTTATATCTTTAAAAATATCAATAGTTAAGGAATGATATTGTTTCTTGTCAACTATTGACATTTTTAAAGATATAAGCTCATCCCGATGTTACACTCATCGAGACCTTTCATTTGAGTAGCCACATCAATATTTCATATATTTATATATATTATATACCTATATGTATATATGAAAAATATATGAAATATTGATGTGGCTACTCAAATGAAAGCTCGTGATGAATGTAACATCGGAATGAGCTTACATCTTCAAAAATGTCAATAGTCAAGAAATTACAGTGCAATTTAATAAATATCTTGTGAAACATTGACATTTTTAAAGATATAAACTCATCCCGACATTCCACTCATTGAAACCTTTCATTTGAATACCAACATCAATTTTTCATATATTTATATATATTATATATATATGTATATATATGAAAAATATATCAAAATACGTGTGGGTACTCAAATGAAAGGTCTTGATGAGTGTAACATCGGGATGAGCTTATATCTTTAAAAATGTCAAAAGTTAGGAAAGTATACAGTGCAATTTAACAAACGTAATTATTTAATAAAGCAAAATGTTCTTTATTTATAGTTTACAAATCACAGCAGTCACATAGTGACTGCAAGGTTGCTAGTTATTATTATTATTATTATTGATTTTTAAAAATTGAAATCTTAATAAATAAATAAAAAATAAATTTTCAGGTGTCACTAAAGAATTTCTTCTCTAATTATTGAATAAAAAATGAAGTTGCTTTGGTGAAAAAAAGTAAAATAAAAAAAAAAATAAAAAGAAGAAGAAGTGAAGATATAGCGACAATGTATTTTTACTATCACGTTGGATCTCATCTGCTGAGAGAATAGTTAGTTGTCTATATACAGTAAATATAAAATGAAAATAAGGAGTAGGATATTGAAGACTTGGATGTAAACGGTAGCCGGGTGGCGTGTTGAGGCGTCTGGACAAGACGGCACACGCACAGACGAGGATGAGGCTCGTATCCTATCCGATTGGATGAATGGCCAACGAGTTTAGTATTATAAGGCATACCAGGTTGCCAGGAGATGGTTCTGTCGCCAACACACCAGAAGATTTCTCTGTCCTCTGTTTTCTATCTCCGGTTGTTTTCTCTTCCTCTTCCTCTGCCTGGTACTTGATTCCGCTCTTGGCTGTTGCTTTGGATCGGGATCAGGGCTTCGATTGGGGTGAGCCGCTGGTGGCCGGTAATTAAACAACGACTAGCGGCCATTAGCCCATTATCATATTCATGAACACGGAAAGTGCATCCCGATTCCGACGTCAACGATGCTACCGAGCAACTTGCCATCGCTCTCTTGTTATACCTCCCGCGTTTATTACGGCCTATCCTCTTATATATAATATAATTTTTTTTTTTTTTGATTCTTTATTTATTTTTTTACTATCCACACAAATATTTTTTTCTCTTTTCATTTTTTTTTATACCATTTCGCATTTAATTGTCGATAGCGTTCAACAAACTTTTACTATTTCTGGGTTATCTTTTATGTTAATTATCAATTATTATTTATTATTATTAAAAAAACAAAAAAAAATTAATTTAATTCAAGAGAAAAATTATTTTCAAGTTTGATAATTTTAAATCAATTTTAATAAAATTAATTTTTTATCCAAAAAGTATATAAAAAAAAATTGTTGAATTATTTTCAATAATTTTTTATTTTTTAAACTAAAAATTTGTTTTCGTGTTTTTTTTTTTTTTTTTTAATTTTTTATCTCTAAAATCATTTTTCTTTAATGAAAGTAAATAAAAAAAAAAACATTATGAAAAATATAAGCTTAGAGGGTTAAAAATAATTTGCAATATACTTTTGCAAAGTCTTTGTTTCACTATTCGTAAGCCTGAATATCAAACTTATATACTTGACGTGGGCGAATATCCTAAACTTCTTATCCTCAAGCCGATGTCCATAAACCGCCCACGTGGCCGCGGCCGGATGAGCGGATTTTAATTCAGAGTGTCTTTCCTTGCAGATTATTGTTTCGTCATCTTGTAGTGTCCAAAAAATTTAGTGTCGAAAATGTTTATAAAAGAAATTTATATTTTAAAAAATTACCAAGAAATTTATTTGTTTAAAATTTTATTTCTTAGCTCAGAAAAAAAAAAAACAACTTTAAATAGACAACTTGCAAATTTTTTTCCTGAATCTATAAAATGTTTTTCAACAAAAAAAATTACCGTGTAATTTTTAACAAATTAATTGCTATTTTTTAAAAATAAATTTTTCTCAGAATGTATGAGATAAAAAAACAAAAAGCTTTCTCAATTTGATCCTGCATTATCTGTATATTCTCCGTGGACTACTTAGATCCTTAAACTCAAAAAATGACACTGCCCCATGACCTTTAATCTTTTAATAAATACATATGAATAAATTACAGATGTGTACAAAGAAAGAGACGGGAATTAAAAATAAAATAAGTGATACGACCTCAGGGGTAGAGGAAGATAACTTTGTAAAATTACGAAGCAAATTCCGCCAGACCTCCCGCATAGTCAATTCATATATGACCACACTCAAAACTCAATAACCAATAACACACGATCATCGATCACCCGAAAATCAAATGCTTAAGCTTTAATTTAAGATTATTATTATTATTATTATTATTATTATTATTGTTATTTATTATGTATACATATAACACCTTTGCTATTTTTTCACACCTTACGTCTCTTTACACATACTTTTTAAATTGATTACAGTTCAAAAGGTTCAATAAATAAAATCCTAAAATTAATTTTTAGTTTTTTAATAAGTATTTCACATCAAAGGTCAAATTTTTTCATGGGAAAATTTTAACCAATTGACGAGTCATTTTATAAGCTAAATTTGTATACGAATACACATTGGAAGTAAGTTTGAACAATTTTTTGTGAAAAAAAATATCAAGATTTTTTTACAAAATTCTGGATAGATAATTTTTAAAAATTCTTCAGTCAATAAATTTTTATCGTGACAATTATTTTTTTTCTTACAATTTTTTTCGCAATTTTTCGTTGTTAAAATCATTAATTTTTATTTAAATAAATTAAAAAATCTAGATAAAATATTATTGAAGGTACCAAAAAATTTTTAATAAAATTTAGTTATAAAAAAAATATTATTTGAAAATTTTTGAAGCCTCAATTCTGAGTCAAATATTGAAGTTACAAAAAAATGATAAAGAACTTTTTTTAAGGAAAATTAAATTCTCTATCAATAAGCTCATGAATTTTCTTGAATAATCTCTTATTAATACATAATTTTAATTAAAAATTAAAATTGAAAATTAATCTTTGTATATAAGGAATATTATTTTATTTTTTTTTAATTTTTAAATTGAAACAATTTAATTAAAATAAAAAAATCAATAAATTTACGCATTTAAAAAATATTATTTTGGCTTTTAATTATTTTTATATTAAAAAAATTTTCGTCAAAATTGAAAATTAAAAAATTTGCACACGTAAAAAATATTATCATATTTTTAGACTAAAAAATTATTCTATAAAAAAATTAAGATTGAAATTAAAAAAAACTATTTTTTAACAAAAATTTTGATTAAAATTAATTTCTGGCATGAAATGAGATAAATAGGCAAAGAAGAGATAAATTGTAACAAACAATAAAATTAAAGTAATTATAAAAGAAATTTGAGAAAAAGTCGTTGTGTACTGTGTTGGGGTAGGAAAAAAAGCGGAGAGAGAATATTATAATGAATGCAGATTAAAAGCATAGAATTAGATACTTACAAAGCGTAGTCGTGCCTGCAGTAAAGCCTCATCCCTCTAAGGAAACAGGAGTGCTGATCATGAAGAGGCCTGGCGCATGCACAACACCTTAAACACCTCGAGTGCCATGTTCTCCCGCCGACGCACAGGACAGTTCTCTCGCGAACTCGCTCTCCACAGCCACCGCACTCCATTACTCCTGGGCCAGGTGACAAGTCCGAAATCATTCCCGTGGTCGTTGTTCCTGTCGCTGTCCCCGTCCTTGTTGCTTCGCATTCTCCCTCTATTACCTCCTCTCCCTCAGTCTGTAATAAACGCGATTGTTACTTTATTTCATATTCAGTTCCAATTCCATCAATAACTATTTTTTATTTTATTGATATTGTTATTTATAATTTACAATTATTCGTCGCACGTCGAATTATTTAAATGGAAAAATTTTTTCAATTCATCAAGAAATTATTGGAAAAATTTGCATTATAATAATAATAATTATAATAAAAAAAACAACTTTTATTTTATTGTAAAGACAAGTTTAATAAATTATTGTTTAAAAAATTAAAAAAATACCTAAATTATTTTTATTGAAATAAAAAATTATAAAAAATAACTAAACTTAAAAGCCATAATTTTGTGCCAAAAAATTAATTTATTATTAAAAAAAAAATTATAGGAACAAACAATGTTTTATTTGCCAGTAAAAATGTCTATTTTTGTAATTAATATTATTAAGAGAATAAGAAAAATTTTGTGTCCAGGATAGTCATATGATAAAATCGGTTTTTTTAGTGAAATTTATCATTGCAAAGGTCTTGACGTGAATTTGGGCCTTTTCAAGGTTTCATTTCATTATCATCAATAGTCAATTTATAATGATGTATTTAGGTTGTATTCGAAAATTCTCTATCTCTACATACATAATTAAGAAATGTCCTTGTATCTTGTGAACTATTGACATTATTAAAGATATAAGCTCATCCCGACATTACACTTATCGAGACCTTTCATTTGAGTACCCACATGGCATTTTTCATATATTTTATATATATGGTATTCGTGAAATATATAAATATATAAAATATATGAAAAATTGATGTGGATACTCAAATGAAAGCCCTTGATGAGTGTAACGTCGGGATGAGCTTATATCTTTAAAAATGTCAATAATTAAGAAATGACCTTGTATCTCGTGAATTTTTGACATTTTTAAAGATATAAGCTCATCCTGACATTACACTCATCGAGACCCTTCATTTGAGTACCCACATCAATATTTTATATATTTATATATATTACATATATGTATATATGAAAAATATATCAAAATGCATGTGGGTACTCAAATGAAAGCTCTTGATGAGTGTAACATCGGGATGAGCTTATATCTTTAAAAACGCCAATAGTTAAAAAAGTACAGTGCAATTTAAAAAAATTCATTATTTAATAAAGCAAAATTTTATTTATTTATAAGTCACAAGTCACGGCAGTCACGTAGTGACTGCAAGGTTACTAGTTTTTTATAATTATTTATAAAAAATATTGAGCAGTAATTAAAAAATTTAATTTTTTATTATATTAAAATGTCAAAAAATATCCAAACTTACAAAGTTCTAATTTATCTTTGACCAATGATACAATCCTCATAAACTCTGCTAAAGAAATTATTAAATAAAATGAAAATTAAATTAACCGACATCTGAAAATTTCTGTAATTTATTTTATTGAAAAATTATTAAAAAACAATTAAAAGAAAAAATTAGACATATATAGAAAATTCCAAAAATTATATGTGCAATTTTTTAAAAATATTTTCTTAGTTCTAATTTAATTAATAAAAAAAAGTCAAAAATTGTTGAACCTCGACTAATTTTAGTATCATTAAATGAAGTGATAAGTTAGTCGACGTTAAAAAATTTTTGTATTTTTTTCAACAATTAAATTGCGAGTAAAAAAAATTGCACATATAGTTTTTCAAATTTTTTAGATGTGAAATTTTTTTAATAAAAAAAATTTTAAATGTCGGCTAATTTAATTTTAATCGAATAAAGCCCCCGCAAAATGATTAAACGACGAAGCACAATAACCTCAAGTACCTCTAAGTGCCGAAGCAAGAATTTATCCGGTCTTCTTTTATTTCTCTGCAACTAAAATTTGTAGCGAGGACCGTGAAAAGTTTACACCTCTCTCTCCTCCGCTGTGTCTAATCGCCTCGATTTGTTCAGTACACCAAAAACATAATAGTAATGCCTATAATACCAATAAACCATCTGGTCAACCGGAAAAAATATCCCGCAGTGTGAAAAGTCACCGCCAATACAAAACCAGGACCCGGATAATAATTCAAAAGGACTCTCGCCCCCTCCAAGTGTAAGCCACAAGCCACAAACAGAATTGAGATTTTATTATTCACAAATAAAATTTATATGAAATGGAGCCTCGACTCTCTTAGTCTCTTCGGACCCAGCAGATTTTGGCTGTCTTTTGTGAGGCATCAACTGCTCGAGCCTCAAGCCCATCCTACCCCAGTCTCTGATAGAATCAGAGGTCTATCATGGGCGCGTTGCTCGAACAAAACTCCCCTTGTGCGTATAAAAGCGTGCCTTATTGTCGTCTGTCCCATGTATGCTGCCAAACATGAACCTCCAAGTTTTGTACAATAATAGGAATGCTCATCCGGACCGACGGGATGTCCTTTAGCGGTCTTGTTACATCAAATTGCCACAGTTATACGTTACACATGTGTGCAATGTAAAATACGGCAATGCTGGAGTGTGTTTAGCTGAGAACTGCCGAAGGGGATTTAATTTTTATGGCAAGGGTGCTTCTGGTTGGAAGGTGAGAAAAGCAAGATATAGACAACCCGGGATTAGATACTGAGTTTTAGATTTCCAGCGCAGACTCCAATCGTTGGGGCGTGCCTCCGCAATCTAATGGGTATCAAAAGGTGTTAGGTGTAAGTGTCAAGATATAGCTTGCGGGTTTGTTGGTGTACATACCAATATAATAGGGGATTTTTAATCAGATTGAAATTGATATTTTAATCTATTTAAGGAGTTCAAAATTTGGGATGGAAAATTTTGTAATCAATAATAATATTAATTATTATTATTATTATTATTGTATACTGATAAAAAATCAAGTAAATTATTTTCAAGAATTTTATCGTCTTAATTTGAGTAGAAAAATTTTTAAATTAAGAATTTTGGTTCAAGTAATTTTTAAAATCGAACTCTTCAAAATTTTCGTGGTTCGAGATTTTTTTTTTTATTCAAGTACATTTTTGGTATGCAAAAAAAATTAGCGAGCTTTTCGTTCATACGTTTTTTGATTAAAGAAGTTTTTTATAATTGTGTAAATTACTCTATATTATTGAGAACAGAAAAATTTTGTCTTCAGGATAGTCATATGATAAAATCGGTTTTTTTTTAGTGAAATTTATCATTGCAAAGGTCTTGACGTGAATTGTGCCTTTTAAAGGTTTCATATCATTCTCACCGATAGTCAATTTATGATAAGTATTTAGGCTGCATTCGAAAATGCTCTATCTCTAGATACATAATTAAGAAATGACCTTGTATCTTGTGGAATATTGACATTTTTAAAGATATAAGCTCATCCCGGTGTTATACTCATCAAGACCTTTCATTTGAGTACCCACATCAATTTTTCATATATTTATATAAATCGTATATATGTATATATGAAAAATATATAAAAAATGCAAGTGGGTACTCAAGTGAAAGCTCTTGATGAGTGAAATGAATGTGGGTACTCAAATGAAAGGTCTCAATGAGTGTAATGTCAGGGTGAGCTTATATCTTTAAAAATGCCAATAGTTCATAAGACACAAGATCATTTCTTAATTATTGACATTTTTAAAGATATAAGCTCATCCCGATGTTACACTCATTAAGAGCTTTTATTTGAGTACCCACATGCATTTTGATATATTTTTCATATATATAAACATATAAATATATGAAATATATGAAAAATTGATGTGGGTACTCAAATGAAAGGTCTTGATGAGTATAACATCGGGATGAGCTTATATCTTGAAAAATATCATTAGTTGACAAGATAGAATGTCATTTCTTAACTATTGACATTTTTAAAGATATAAGCTCATCCCGATGTTACACTCATCAAGAGCTTTTATTTGAGTACCCACATGCATTTTGACATATTTTTCATATATATATATATATAAACATATAAATATATGAAATATATGAAAAATTGATGTGGATACTCAAATGAAAGGTCTTGATGAGTGTAACATTGGGATGAGCTTATATCTTTAAAATTGACAATATTTCACAAGATAAAAGATAGAACATTTTCGCATATAGTCTAAATACTTATCATAAGAAATTGACTATTGGTGAGAATGACATGAAACCATGAAAAGGCACATCTCCAGGTTAGACTTTTTCAACGATACTAAATTTAACCATAAAAACCTTTTTCATCATCTAAATACACTGGCCACAAAATTTTGCTTATTTTCTCAATAATATAGAATAAAAATGAATTAAAATTCGTCTTAAAAATTTCAAAAGTCTGCAAACAATCAATTTAACTCTTTTAAAAAAGATTTATTAAAAAAAATATATTAATATTTTCTTCTTAAAATGAAAAATCTATTTATGATAAATTAGCAGCTGCATATGATCATAGTATCTAATATATTATTTATTATAAAATAAACGAAAGGACAAAACAATTTGATCTATCGACGTGAGAGTATATAATGACCGAAATGTAACACGCGTGAGCCTTTCGGAAGCCTCAAAGTCGTTGGACATTGGTTGGTGTGTATAAAAATAATATTGAATGTGATATCCTAAAACGATCAAGGCGCCCCATTGGGGCACTCAACAATATAATAAGGGAACGCGTGTATGCCGTACAAATCAGATGGGCTTATGGCTTTTGATCGCCGTTTTTGGTCCGAGTATGTATATATAAGTGTTTGAAAAAATGAGCCCGAGAGCAGAAAGAAAAAAAAGTAACAACCCCATAATGACAAAAGTTTTTAACGTCTGGCTATTTTGGACGACGTACATTATATGGCGTTAAACTTTTGGACGCGTGACGATACCATCACATCATGAACTCACTGCATAATGTTATATGTATTTGTGAATGTCGATCCAAGCATTATTATATATAATATGGTTTATAGTAAAGAGCCAGAAAACCAAAATCCTATACGTATAATATAATAGTTTAAATGGATTTGGAGTGTAGTGGCTGTCTATTGAATTTGCGCGCGCTTGGGGGCCTATTGTCATTTTAAGGAGATATTTCTTCGTCACGTAGACCAAAAGGAAAATAAAAGACACTTTTAAGTAATGGAAATTTTATATTTTTCTACGAAGGCGTAAAGAGGCTCGTGCTCGTGCCCATATACACTTCTAAAGTTATTCTCTGTCTATTCTATTTAGTTTTCATGTTATTCAAAGATAGACTGGACCCAAATCCATCTCGAGTGTATTATTTGTGGCGTTATGTGTGAATAACGACCAGACTGGACCCGGATAGGATGAAAAGTAGTTTGTATGTGTCTATGTGGGCTTGCGCTTGTGGAAATATTATTTAATAAATTTTGAACTTTTAAATAGTTCGGGGCTCATAGTCGACCACTTTGTCAAAATGTCACCTGGATAGGCGCTGGTATACTCTTGGCTATTGTTAAAAAACGCTTAAATAGATTTTTACCATAAGTGGTGTTATGAAAATTTGATTTATGGTTGCAGAATTAGCAGTGGTATAAAAATATATTTTAAGAAAAATTTATTTTTTTTTATACTTAATAAAATTTATTTTATTTTAGAAAGTAATTTTTTTTTTTTTATTTTAAATCGTCTTTTAATTAAACAGAAAAGGTACTTTTTCGTTGAATTCATAAGAATTTTATTGAGCGAAAAAAAAATTTTTAACTTCCCGCTAAGAAAATTGAAATTTTTCAAAAATCGGGAAGTTATTGGTTTTACCCCGTTTTTCGAAAATCGAGTTTTCATCAGATTTTGTCGATCACGAAAAAAGTGTTTTTTCGGAATTACTCCAAAATTTCTAGTTTAACCAATTGAAACTTAAGAATTCTTTATGAGGCTTAAAATACTGCGTAGAATGCCGCCAACTGCGTAAAAATCGGTTCATTCATTCAAAAGTTATTGCGGTTTGAAAATTCAAAAAATAGTGCTCTATCAAACTTTTGAGCTCGAAGAGTTAAAAGCATACAAAAGCGATTTTTTTGAGCTCGGGGAGCTCAAAATAATACACAAATTGTATTTATGAGCTCGAAGAGCTCTAAAACGTCATAAGTGCAATTTCAAGCGTTTAGGTATAGAATTGGCGGGAAGTTGCAGGGATGGCCTTCAGGGTCAACCGTATTCCTAATTTTTTTATGTAAATTTTATTTGATTTTATAATTTTTTTTTTATTAAAGACAATCAAATTCTTTAAAATAATTTAACTCAAGATTTTTTCTCTTCAATCAATTTAATTTTTTTATCTTTGTATATAGATTTGTATTCATTTCAAAAATTTCGTTTTTAATAATGTACCAAATACTTGATAAACATTAGCAGAGATTATTATTCTCTCTTCTACCAAAGCGTTGCCGACAATTTTAAAGAATTACTGAGAAAAATTATTATTTGAAAAGATAAAAGTAAATATTATTACTTTTTATTATTAAATATATCTTCAAAGTTTTCAACATTTATTCCAAAATAACAATCACTCTAAATGAAATAAATTTGATATTTTTAAATTATAAAAGATTATTTAGAATTTTTCTCCAAGTTTACCTTAAAAATATGTATTTTTCTCTAAAAAAAAAAAAGAAAAATCTTTATTAAGCCATAAAAATTCATTTTTCCCAGGAAAATCTACACCCCAAAAATGATCTGCAAATCCCTCTGGAATTTCCTTTTTATTGACAAGATATTAGACATCATAGTCCGTTCACAGTGAGGCAAATCCGATGATACGGATTTTAAAAATATGAAAAAACTCTCAAGGACCTTTCATCTCTTTTTCCACACATCCTAAACTTATGTGTATATTATTGATGGTTAAATCTGTCGATCAACAACACTCGATATATTTTTCCAGACAACACTTGACGGTGGCTAAAGTATGAAACTTTTTTGAGGAAAAGGACTCTACACCCCAGTATACACATATATATTCTGGGTAGGTCTATTCAAATGAATACCAAAGGCCCATTCTGGGATCTCAAGTGGTTTCGGTTTCT